ACAATAAATGAAAATGTAAAACGAAAAAAGCGATCATGAAAATGTTTCCAAAAAATGAATTAAATGATTTTTGACCACTTTGTTGTTCAGATATATCACATATTTGCAGTGGCGTTTCTAGGTGTACAAAACTGGGGGGGCAGAAAGAGGTCGGGGGAGAGAGAGAGAGAGAGAGAGAGAGAGGGGGGGGACAGAGAGAGGGAGGAGAGAGAGAGGGGGGACAGAGAGAGGGGGGGGAGGAGAGAGAGAGGGGGAGTGTCAAATTACATACTGAAGACCACAGGAGCAACACTGTGAGCGCATACATTTACGTACACAGCGTGGGGATGTCATAGTAATGCACCTTCATACATGGAGTAAAGGTCACCATCACAAAGTAATTCTTAACAATAACAACAACCATAATGCTTTAGCATTAACACACCATAGACTGTAAATATAAGGAAACACAGACACTCATCATCGAGGGTCACAATATCAATCGATCCAGCAGAGGCAAAACACAGAAGATCAACAAAATATATGACATAAATGAACTTACCAAAGCTGAAGGCTCACTTGAAAAGAAAAGCGGCACGGCGGTCCTTCCTCTGACAGAATGTGTCTATCACTTTGGGGATGAAGTCCTGTAGTTGCTGGATCAACTGGCTTTCAATTGAAAGCATGGCCAATGCGTTAAGTCGCGGCTGTCCCATGGTGTTGCGAGTGAAAGTCTTTATCCTTTTGAGGGTGGAAAAGTTCCTCTCTGACTCGGATGTCGTCATCGGAGTTGTCACTATTATTTTGACCAAAATAACAGTCTCAGCCAACGTTTCCTCCAAGTTGTTCTCGTGAATGGATTTCAACAGAGACAGGGCAGTGTTTCCAGTGTGAAGCTCACTGTGGCGGTAGAGCGTGGTCAGCTCAGACTTCAACTTCTCCTTGTTTCCCAACGCAGGCCACAGTTTCACGGCGCAGTCAAGCTCAGGTGTAGGAAATGACAGGACATGCTGTGGGAAGAATGAGCTGTCAACAAGCTTTGCAGCGATCAAATGGTCACTCTGTGAGAACCTCTGTTCCACCTGTGAGATGACTGTGTCACAAGCCTCCTTCATCACCGGCGCTGTGCTGCTGACTCGTCGGCCTGGCTCGTCTGTTCCATCATGAGCAGTGGCGGCCAATGCATCAGTTTTCTGCCTCATTTTCTGAACATTTTCCTTGAAACGGCAGAGCGCGCTGTTGATCCCAGGTGCATCGATGCTTCGTTTTGCAGAGTGTTGTATAGAACATCCACTTCTGGCATAAGCAACGAAAAAAACTCCAGGAGCTGCATAAATGCTCGGTCCCGCAGTTTCTTTGACAGGCCGTATGCCTCACTTATGGTGACCGCATCCCATCCTGGTTGTGCGCGTATATGCTTCATACACTGAAGTAGTGCATCTCGGGTCTCCCAAACCGCGTTCACAGTTCTGCTTTTAAAGTTCCATCTCACAGCCGGTGGCCGTGGGATGCGTCTCTGTGTTGCCTCTGCAAGAGCTGCAACACGTTTTGGAGCACCGGAGAAAAAAGTGGAAAAAGCAGTTAGATCTGCAAAAAACACCTTCAGGATGCTCATCCTTGCTGAACACAGTTGCTGCAGGGTCAGGTTCAGTTGGTGGGCGTAGCAGTGAACAAACTGAGCGTTTGGGTACGTCTCCTTCATCACCGTCTGTACCCCGCGCACGTTACCGCTCATGACGGCCGCCCCGTCATAGGTCTGAGCGATTAGCTTTTCTTTCAGCTTCAGGGGTTCCAGAACAGCCTTGATGCTGTTAGAGAGACCTACACCAGTTTTGTCCTTTACTTCCACAAACTCCAAAAAACGCTCTGTAACTGTGAGGTCAGGCATAATGTATCGCAGCACAATCACCATTTGCGATTTACAGGAGACATCGGTTGTCTCGTCGGCCTGAACGGCAACAAATGATGTGTTGTCCACTTGCTTGGCTATTTCCTCCCTGTACACATCATACATGCAGTCCAAGAGTTCATTCTGTATGGTGCTTGATGTCCCTTTGAAAACAAGCTAAGCTTCGTAGTGCCGTTGAAGCCTGGAATCGCCCTCACACATTGTCTCGAAAATTGACCTGAATATCCCTGGATTCAGAGAGCCCGCCGACTCGTTGTGGCCCCGCAGTGCTGTCTCACATTTCCTACACAGTTTAATACAGGTGATGATCCGACCAAGCACGTACCTGTTTTCTTCCACCTTCCTATTATGAGAATCAATGCCGCGTCTGTAGGCGCTGTCAATCTGAGCTGCAACATTCACCCTTCCAAGTAATCCCAATTTTACGGCATTTTCCAAATGACTGTTGCTGCTCTCATGCTTCATTGTCCTCTCCGAAAGATGCTTTAAGTCCTTGTAACCTGTCCTCGACCAAGTACCTTGATCTTCACCAAAAAGCAGGCAAGGAAAGCAAAAGAGGGAATTCTTCTGGATGCTCGCCGTTAGCCATTTCTTTTTAGCAAACCACTCAGCGTTAAACCCACGTTTAACTTTGCCCGCAGTCTGGACCATTTGGAAATCCGGTGGATGGTGGGCACCGAGGCGCTTTACCTCCAGTTTCTCTCCGAGACTAAGTGTCTCAAATGTGTGCTCCAGTAAATGGTCAACTTCATTAATTTTCTTTCAGTTTTTTACTTCTTTTAATCGCTGGTGATGTTAGCTATATGCTGCTCTCTCGTCTCCTCTTCAAACTACACGTGACGTTTCGCAGCACTGCACACGTGAGTACTTACAGCCAATCAATTCTGAATTATGTGAGATGGCGTATGGTGGGGATGGGAGCACTATGCCCCTACGGTCATTATTTTTTTGCCACACACATTAAATAGAAAAATACTCTGAGCATGCGCAGTGTAGTTTTTACAATCACCGTTCACTTAGACTGTGAGAGGGAGGGGCAGGATCGGGTTTTGTCCCACATGGCTCTAAACAGCTCAAAACGGCACTCTAGACACTAATTAGAAGAACACAGACTAAAACAGAAATGTACAGACGAATCAGATTATTAAACATGACCTTAAAATATATTTTATATGTTTTTTTATTTATTTTTTTGTATTTTTTTGTAATCATTATTTGTAATACTTTCTTCTGACACTAGGTGGGGCTGTGCCCCACCTGCCCCTAATGACCCGCCGCCACTGCATATTTGTAACTAAATGATACATGAATTGAAACAAAACACGGTATAAACTGAGGAGTGACTCCCGTGAGGTTCATGTATTTTCTTCACTCTGCTCTCATGTCAAGAAGCATATGATCAGTGCATGCACTGCCTCGTCCAATCAGTGAGCGATACACAGTAAGGGGGCGGGGTGAGTATCTGAGGATTTCATCGGAGGATGGTCTGGTGGTTCCTCGGTTATCGCTCCTCCATGATCGCTCCTCGCTCCTCGATCCTCGGTCCTCCGGCAGAAATAAGAGCCATGGGACGGTACTCAAGATGGCGCAGGCAAATGAACTTCCGGTGAGACCGAGGACCGAGGAGCGAAGAAATGAAAATAGTCGACCTGAGAAGCAGCCTGTGTCTTTAGTTGTAAACCCAGTGGCGATCTGTTGTTATTAGCATCTGGTTATCTATGGGATTAGTTTTGTTTTATAAAGATAAAGCAACACTTTCTCAGAATCAAGCAAAACTAAGAGTTTAAGAGAAAAAAAACTGAGTCAAGCTAAATACATTTAATTTAAAAAAATAAAACTATGAGTTGCAAACAAATCATTTGTGTAATCATGTAAACTATAAGTATTTTTTCTATGTTTTAGCATATATTTTTGTTTGCAGTTCTCTTTGGAGTTCAGTTTCTCAATGATCAGACTTTTGCTCTCGCTGCAGCTCTCTCATTTGCGCTCCTTCATTTTTTGTTTTCAATTCTGACACAAACCTCCCAGGTGGGCGGGACTTTCAAGGGTGCGTCCCCATTGGCTACTCAGTTTTTGAGTGACAGCCCAGTCCTCCAGCGATTGTACAGTGCAGCTGCGGTGCGATAGCTGAGCGTGGATAGAACACCCCCAGAAGTACCAGCTTTTCAATTATTATAATACTACAAGTGAAAATATATGTAAGTATTTGTCACGATCTGTCTGTGTTGTGTTTTGTCTTGTCTAGATCTGTTTTTGGTTTTCTGTCTGCGTTGTGTTTTGTCTTGTTTAGATCTGTCTTTGGTTTCCTGTCTGTGTGTGTTCCCTCCTACCTGTTCCCTCCTACTTGTTTTCTTGATTGTGTTCACCTGTGTTTTCTCCTCCCTCCTCATCTGTCTCTTGTTTCCTTGATTAGTCCTGTGTGTATTTAAGTTCTGTTTTTTCTGTCTGTCATTGTTGGTTCGTCTTTTGTTGTGACTAAGTCTCCGGTGAGTGTTCTGTTTTGTCTTTATTAGTATCCGGTAGCCTTGAAATAAAGGAATTTTCAGTTTAAATCTGCATTTGGGTCCTGCCTGCTTCACACACCGTAACAGAACCAACCAACCAAGCAGATCCTTTTGAGCAGGAGATATTGGAGTTTTCCTTTGCTTTGGCTGGCTGCTCTAGTCGATGGTTGGGAGCGTCCAGGGTTCAGCAGCGAGAGGCTGTTCTGGCAGAAGCACGCCAGATTACGATGGAGAAACCAGGCTTGGTTAAATTCTTACCGGGCGGGATTTTGGATTTCCTCATGGTGTGTTATCCCCTGCCTGACAGCCCCAGGCCTCCCAACTCCCGTTATGACACCACACGCATCGGTGTGGTCCGTTTGGAGTCAACCCTGGCCTCTGCCCCATTGCCAGGAGCCGTTCTCTGGAACTCGTCTGGCCTTTGGAGGCAGGGGCGGACTGGCCATCGGGAATACCGGGAGTTTCCCCGGTGGGCCGGTGCTGTGCGTGGGCCGGAGGGCCAAAACAATAAATACATGTTTTGTTTTTTTTTGTTTTTTTTTTTGTCTAAATCCTACCGGCCCACATTTGTAAGTATACCGGCCACTCCCTTTTTTGTTTTGCTTAACTAAATCCTACCGGCCCACATTTGTAAGTGCCCACATTTGTAAGTGTTCCGGGCCGGCCACTCCCCATCAGGCCCGTAGCAGCTGTCACTGCGCAGTGAAAGATCAGGAGTGAGTTACTGATGGATAAACAAGCTCCAAAGCGTAAAGGAGGTGCACAAAAACTTAGGGATAAAAAAATGAAAGCACTTGAGGAAGGTTCAGCAAAATCAAAAAAAATTACAGACTTTTCGTTTGGTCCTGCAGCTGGTTCTAGTTGTAGTACAACCACCACCGGAGAAGCTGATGTAACGTTAGCCGACACAGCGGCCATTCCCAGTGGCAGTGAGTCCAGCAATGAAACTGACACAGCACAGCGGCATCTAGAGCCCAGTACCAGCAGTGATATGATGGTAAGTTAATGTTATGATTGATGCTGAAAGTGAAAATCCTCATTTGGCTAATGCTAGCTTGCTTTTTAATGTAGCAGATGAGGTAATATTAGCTAGCTAGCCTATTTCTAGCTAGCTAGGCTATTGCCTACAGTACATTGTGTGTTCACAGGGACAGCTAATGCATTAGCTAGCTAGCCTATTGCCTACAGTACATTGTGTGTTCACAGGGACAGGGTAAAATTAACACCATTCACTGACCAAATTCTGGTGAAATATGCAAGCTGCTGGTAGATTTGCTTCACTCATTGACAACGGTAATCTATTTGAACATTATAGCCACTTGACTTGGGCTGGTGAATCAATGAGACTACTATGATTGCTTATACTGTCTTTTGTTTGATTAGCTTAGACGTTAGGTTACCCTTATTAATACTAAAAAATAATAAAGGGTCCATTATTTGTCAACCTGCAACTAAAGTTACTGTCTGGTGGAAATTAGCCTGTTACTGTCTTTAAGACTTTACTTGGTTTACATACATAATAATAACATGGTGGTAACATAATAACGTAACATACTAATCAATACTAATCATTTATGTAGGCTGAAGATGATCCTGCTGCTGACACTGACAGAGTTAGTCAAGGCCAGGATGTCAGTGCCACCCCAGTTGATTATTTCACCAGGCCGATGTCAGGCACATTAGACCTATTCTTCCGTTTTCACCCCCAGCAGAAGGCAGACAAGGCTGTAGTGCAGAGGGCTTTTTTTTGCAAAGACGGCACAAACAGGAAATGGCTATCATACAGTGAAGCCAGAGAAGTACTCTTCTGCTCCCTTTGTATGGCTTTTGCTAATCCTAGAGATAGCAACTCCTTCATCACTGGTATGACCAACTTCACACACATACATCAGAGAGTCGAGGAGCATGAGCAGAGCCATGCTCACAGAGGTTGCGCTGAGGCATATTTCCTCAGATTCTCAAAAAACACAATTCAGGACCTTCTCATGGGACCTCAGATGTCACGTCACAGAGAGGAAGTCCGCAGGAAGCGTCAAGTGTTGGAGCGCATCATAGATGTGTTGAAACTCATTGGTCAAAGGGGTTTGAGCTACAGGGGCACGCAGGCGGAGGCATTATATACACTAGATCAGGGGTGCCCAACCTTTTTTGAACCGAGAGCTACTTTTAAAGTTGCCAGTCTGTCGAGATCTACCAGTCCAAATAGAGAGGCGTAGCCATTACTGACAGCCTACTACCAGGTAAATACACACTTCTACTTGTATAAAACTGACCTCTGTACGATTAATACTTCATAAAATACTGCAGATTCTTTATCTTACCTGCTCTTTCTAATCTACACACATACAAGTATTTAACTGAAGTTACACACATGTTGTTGATACAGAGTTGGAGTTTATTCACACGTCACTACAGTGGGTAATGTTTTCAAGAAACATTGAACAGTGCTGCCACATATGACACAGGAACAAAAGAAAAGACTCTGAACCCTTTCTTTGCCATTATATAAAAATAGTGTTGCTACAAAAGTATAAATTAGGCTTACTAATAAGACAACTCAGATCTGAAGCTACACAGAAATCTGCTGCCAAAGTGCAATAAAAAAGACAAAATTAATAGAATCAAACCCTTTTTTTGGTGCATTTTAGTAGATTATAAAAATAGGATGCCAGCAACACTAGTTTCTTAACCTGAATTGATAATAGACTATAATCAATTTAAGTTTGCATTCTTATACCATTTTGTACAATAATTATAATGAATAAGTTCAAACAAACTAAAACTTACAGCTGATTAATAACGGTATCTAACTTGAGTTTGTATTATATCAAAAACCTGTTGAAATGCTACTGTTATTTTTACTGTCCACCAAAAGCGCGTCGCAGCCTCCAGGAAAGCTTCTTTCACAACTCCGCCGTCTTTGAAAGACTTTGTGTGTTTCGCAAGAACGTGACTGACACGATAAGATGCTATGGTAGCAGCCTTGCTCTTGTTGTTGGGCCTGGTGGAAATGGCCTGCTGTGCATTTAGCTGTCCTTTCAGGCCCCTCCCCTTTTGGGAGCGGAGGGCAGAATTAGGGAATTCCGTCTCTTAGCGTTTGTGCACTGTTTTGAAATGCCGCTCCTAAATTACCCTTCTTCGATAAAGCCACGCTCGCATTGCAGATGAGACAGATGGACTTTGAATTGGAATAAATACAAAAATAATCATCCTCCCACTCGGAGTTAAAATTATATATATGTTTTGCTTCTGCCATAATTGCGGTCTTGTTTGTGTGCGGACTATCACTCCTGTTGACACGGACAACGTTAGCGAATTAGTGCACTGCCCACTAGCCACGCCCCGACACATGGGGTCACGCCGGCCAATCACAAAGCTTTGATGCGTTCAAGTGCATTATTCTGGCACAGGAAGATTATGTTATAGGACATTAACGATAAAACAGAATATTGTTGTTCTATTTTTAGACACATCTCACGATCGACTGGGAATCTCCCCGCGATTGACCGGTCGATCGCGATCGACTGGTTGGGCACCCCTGCACTAGATGATGACACCATTGATCATGGTAACTTTTTAGAGATGATTGTTTTGCTGGGAAAATATGATGTGTGTCTCAAGGAACACCTCACTCTCTGTATAGAAAAGAGCAAGCAAATACACCAGTCTGGTTTAAGACAAGGTAGAGGTTCCCTTGTCACTCTCCTATCCAAAACAACCATCAACTACATCATCACCACCATCCAACGCCTAATGAAGGCCACCATCGCCACTGAAGTCCGGGAATCTGGCATGTATTCTGTCCAGATTGACACCACACAGGACATCACAGCCCAAGATCAGTGCTCTGTTGTCATACGATATGTGACAGACATTGTTCATGAGCGACTTGTTGCTGTGATTAAATGTGAGGCATCCACTGGGCAGTACTTTGCACAACTTGTTGTGAATGAAGTACTGGAGACCATGAAACTGGATGTGAGGCAGTGTATTGGAGATTCCACCGATGGGGCCTCCAATATGCAAGGCCAATATAAAGGCTTCTCTGCACTGCTCGCCAAAATGTCCCCCACCCATGTCCATGTATGGTGCTACGCACACGTCCTGAACCTCGTCCTGGCAGACACAACACAATGTGTATTGGCAAGTGGGTCTCTTTTTTCCCTGTTGAACAACATCGCTGTCTTCATCAGAGTGTCCTACCAGAGGATGAACATCTGGGAGAAGGAGAGCAAAGACCCAAGACACAGACGTCTCGCCCCGATTGGAGAGACACGCTGGTGGTCCAAAGACGTTGCTGTGACTAAGGTATTTGGCTCTTTTGGAAAGCCAGATAATGCCCTGTATGTTGATGTCCTTCATACCCTCTCCGCCATTCAACATGGACAGACTATCAACGCCACTGCACGGGTCAATGCACATGGATACATCACCCAGCTTCTGAGGTATGAAACAATACTTACAGCTCAGATCTTCCTGAGAATTTTCCAGGTCACCTCACCAGTCTCAAAATACCTTCAGAAAAGTGGAATGGACATCCTGACAGCTCATCGGATGATTGTGGCTGCAGAAACACAGCTGAAAGATATGACCAGAGACTTCGAGAAAGTCAAGACGGCGGCCGCCACATTCGTCCAGTGGGCCAACAATCAAACAGAGGAGCAGAGTGAGGAGACTGAGCTGGAGGTTGAGGCCGCTCTGCCACAGAAACGGGGTAGAAAGAAGAAAACCATGCCTGGAGAGATGTCCAAGGATGAGGCTGTGACTGATGCTGAAACATCATACAAGATTGATGTCCATAATCAAATCATGGACACAGTCACAGGAAGCATGCACCAGCGCTTCCTCAAAAATGGCACTTTGTATGCTGATTTGGCACTTCTGGACCCAAAAAGATTCAGCCAGGTAACATCTTATGCCGGTGGTTTCCCAGAGGCAGCACTCCAAGAATTAAGCAAGAGCTTGCTGCCATTTGATGACAGAGCAACGGTGGCCAAATTACAGAGTGAGCTCATCAGTCTGGCAGGACAGTGGAATAGGTTGAAGACATCTGTATTTGAGGAATACACAACCAAGACAACAGAGGCTGGGCCAGAGGATGCTGAAGATGAAGCGGAGATGGTATATAAAAAGTGCTCATCTTGCAAGGACTGCCCATTGTGTTGCTACCGTATCCTTAAGCAGTACAACCTCCTGACAGATGCATACCACATCATTGGCCTTGCATACAGGTTCCTGCTTACCCTGTCTGTCACACAGGTAGCATGCGAGCGAAGCTTTTCAACACTAAAATTCATCAAAAACAAGCTCAGGAGCTCGCTCTCTCAACAGAACCTGGAGTCCTTTATGCTCATGGCTACTCAACCAGATGTTTTGAAGATGCTGGATAGTGACCAAATTATAGATGGTGTTGCAGAGAAAAGTGAGCTGCTGCAGAAACTACTAATTCAGTGAGGTAATAATACATTTACATTTATTACTATGTGACTTCCCAATCTTGACACTAATAAATTAGTGATTATTGCAGACTATTAAACAACATTAAAAACATGACATTTGTTCTAATGAAGGCTTCAGGTGGATGTCAGTATCATACATAGTACATAACATGCATATATGTTTTGTCTCTCACCCATAGGCCACCCTATTTTTTCCAGAGGGGACTGACTTCTACAACCTTGCTCCCAATGTCAAAATCAACCACTTCAACCCAGCCTCCTCCTTTTAAAAGCAACACATGGATGAGCTCACTTATAGACCCAAAAGGGTAGAGAGGGAAGTATTGACAGGGCTTATTGTTTATAAGTATGTTGCCCTGCCCTCTAGTGTTTTTTGTTGTTGTGTATGTGTATACAGTATTGTAGCGAGCCCTGGGTTCAGAGGGAGGGGCTTGCATAGGGGAGGGGGGGGAAAACGGGGTTCAGGGGGAGTGGCTGCACCCGTAGGATAGAAAAGGGGGAAGTGACGTCTGACTCAGAGGTCGCACGGCTGTGGAGAAGAACGTTCATTCAGAACCCACATTCTGTTACTGAGTTTAGGCTAGTTAGCGAGCAGGTTTATTGTTCTGGGTGCAGTCACTTTTGCCTCCACTTGCTGTTCAAATAAATGTTGAAAGAAAAAGTAAATCTGTTTACAGTTCTGTTTCATATTGGTGTTGAGAGATGTATCCATAGATTTAGTCCCTAATTTTGCTCTCAAAATGCACCAGATTGATGCATTTAACTTCAACATTTTAAAACAAATCTTCCCGGGGGAGCATGCCCCCGGACCCCCCTAGAGGAGGTGAGGTCCACCACCTGCCCATACCCCCTGTCAAATTGTCTCACCCACATTGAGGATGCTTCCTACGCCCATGTTTTATTCCATGCATCAAGTCAGGCAAATTGGGTCCAAATATTATTGCATCAATGATCTGTTAACATTAAAATCACTAAATATATGCTGTAACTATTTTGCTTAGGCAACTCAAGGGCTCAGGTAATGTGATGACTATATGAATAATGGTCCAAAATAACATAAAATACATAGGGTTTTTTGTTAAGTAACATACTTTCGTCGCCGGCCGGCCGATACATGCCGCGCATTAAGTGGGCCTGTCTGTCAATTAATCCCCGGGCCACTTTTTCCCCCCAGTCCGCCCCTGTTTGGAGGTCCACGGAGCCTCCAAACGGCTCCTAAAGGAAGGAGTCGCAAGGCCAGGTTAGCAGCACGAGCCCAAAGATCCATGGTCCCGGCCCCAGTTCTAGCCCCAGCGGCCATGGTTCCGGCCCTGGTCCCGGCCCCAGCAGCCATGGTTCCAGACCCAGTTCTGGCCCCAGCGGCCATGGTTCCGGCCCTGGTTCCGGCCCCAGCAGCCATGGTGCCAGCCCCAGTTCTGGCCCCAGCAGCCATGGATCCGGCCCCAGTTCTGGCCCCAGTTCTGGCCCCAGCAGCCATGGTTCCGGCTCCAGTACAGACCCCAGCAGCCATTCCGGCCCCAGTTCTGGCCCCAGCAGCCATGGTTCCGGCTCCCAGTACCAGCCCAGCAGCCATTCCGGCTCCAGTACAGGCCCCCGCAGCCATGGTTCCAGCACCAGTTCTGGCCCCAGCAGCCATGGTTCCAGCCTCAGTCCTGGCCCCAGCAGCCAGGGTTTTCGACTCCAGCCCTCGTCTCCGGCCAACGCCAGCTCCCCGTGTCCTGTCAGCGTACCAGCCGACGCCAGCTCCACGTGTCCTGTCGGCATTCCGGCCGACTCAAGCCCCCCGTGTTCTGTTGGCGAACCGACCGTCTCAAGTCTCCTCTCAAGTTCCTTCTCAAGTCCCCTCTCAAGCCACATCTCCAGCTCCCTCTCGAGTCATCTCTCAAGTCTCCTCTCCAGTCCCCTCTCGAGTCCCCTCTCGAGTCCCCTTTCAAGACACTTCGCAAGTTCCCTCTCGAGTCCCCTCTCAAGTCACCCCTCCAGTCCCCTCTCGAGTCCCCTCTCGAGTCATCTCTCAAGTCTTCTCTCCAGTTCCCTCTCCAGTTCCCTCTCAAGTCCCCTCTCGAGTCACCTCTCAAGTTCCCTCTCAAGTAACATTCTCAAGTCCCTCCTCTAGTCACTTCTCTAGCCCCCTCTCTGGTCCCTTCCCGAGTCCTTCCTCTAGTCCCTTCCCATGTCCCTTCTCTAGTCCCTTCTCTAGTCCCTACTCAAGTCCCTCCTCTAGTCAATTTCCTAGTCCCATCTCTAGTCCCACCTCGAGTCCCACTTCTAGTCCCACCTCTAGTCCCATCTCAAGTTCCCTCTCTAGTCCCATCTCAAGTTCCCTCTCGAGTCCCCTCTCCAGTTCCCTCTCGAGTCACCTCTCGAGTCACCTCTCGAGTCCCTCCTCTAGTCCCTCCTCTAGTCCCTCCTCGAGTCCCCTCTCTAGTTCCCCCTTGGTTCCCTTCTCGAGTCTCCTCTCGAGTTCCCCCTTGGTTCCCCTCTCGAGTCTCCTCTCGAGTCTCCTCTCGAGTCACATCTCAAGTCCCTACCCAATGTCCTGGTCCGTTGGAGATTCCGCTGGGGGTCCTGCCAACTCCATGTCCTGTCCCGTTGGAGGCCCCGCCGACTACTCCTCTGCCGGGGGTCTTGCCAATCCTATGTCCGTGCCGTTGGAGGTTCCGCTGGAGGTCCTGCCAACCCTATGTCCTGTGCTGTTGGAGGTTCCGCTGGGGGTCCTGCCAACTCTATGTCCTGTCCCGTTGGGGGTCCCGCCGACTACTCTTCTGCCGGGGGTCCTGCCAACCCTATGTCCTGTGCTGTTGGTGGTCCCGCCAACTACTCTCCTGCCGGGGGTCCTGCCAACCCTGTGTCCTGTCCCGTTGGGGGTCCCGCCGACGACTCTTCTGCCGGGGGTCCTGCCAACCCTATGTCCTGTGTCGCCCTCGAGTCCGGCCCCCTGAGAGCCGCGGTCTTCGCCCTCGAGCCCGGCCCCCTGACTCTTCCTTCCGCTGCCTTCGCCCTCATGCTCGGCCCCCTGAGTTCGCCCGCTGTGGCCTTCGCCCCACCATGGACTATGCCTTGCCCCCGGGCCGTCCGCCCGAGACCCCCACCTTGGACTCTGCTTTGCCCCCGGGCCGTCCGCCCTAGACCCCCTCAATGGACTCTGCCTTTCCCCCGGGCCGTCAGCCCAAGACCCCCTCCATGGTCTCTGCCTTAACCCCCGGGCTGTCAGCCCAAGACCCCCTCCATGGTCTCTGCCTTGCCCCCGGGCCGTCCGCCCGAGATCCCTTCCGGGTACTCCGCTGTGCTCCTGGGTTCTCAGCCCAAACCCGTCCTCCTGACCCCCTCCACCCACCCTGGTGGCCCTTGTTTTGTGGTCATTTTTTTTTCTCTTAAACTCTTAGTTTTGCTTGATTCTGAGAAAGTGTTGCTTTATCTTTATGAAACAAAACTAATCCCATAGTTAGCTAGCTATGCTAACGAATTTAAAGAGCTTTTCTACAACCAGGTGGAAGAGAGCTCTCTCCTGACAGACTGAGAGGCTCAAATAACTTCAGCTCAGTGAGGTTAAGGCACACCTTGATATGATCATTATAGTTATTAATGAGACATTAGAGACTAAATGAAAAACAGGTATAAAATACTATATGACAGTAACAAAAAAGTTGTTAAAAATAACAAGAATACAGTTTAAAAGGGGAGTGATTTGTAAAATATCCATAAAGAAAAAGAAAAATCTGTTTACATGTCTGGTTATAATAATAATAATGGGTTCCATTTATAAAGCACCTCATATTTGACTCCAAATCCCGAAGTGCTACAAGTGGTGGTTTATAGATCTCTTCATTTTGCTCTCAAAGTGCACCATGATTGATGCTTTTAACTTCAACATTTAAAAAAAAATCTTCCCCCGGACCCCCCTAGAGGATGTGAGGTCCCCCCCGCTTAAATGATGTCCACATGGATAGGATACTAAATACATTTGCACACATCTTGTGTCCATATCTTTCTGTTTTGGTGGTCATGCCACAACCGTGCACGTGCATGCGCGAGTCATGGTACGATATGTGGATTAAGAGGTTGCTTTTTCTTTGCACAGCATGAAAGAAAGGCCAAATGAATGGGCTGTGATTTTAGTTTTTTTAAGCAGAGGTTGAGTTCAATCATTTGTACGACCCTCGGAGGATGTTGTAAAAATTGAAAGGAAAAAGGTTCCCCTCCCCTGCTGTAAATAATAATAAAAACCCTTGATTTATAACTTAACATCTCTGTCTCCTATTGATCTGAGTATATTATAAAGAATAGGCAGTTAATTGAAGCATTATAGCACAGATGGTATATTAAGCTTTTTTTTCCTGCTTCGAATAGTTCTCTCTTTTTTCACCATACCTGTGTTTGCATCCCTGAAAATGGACAAACCAGCTGCGCCTGATTAGGGCATGGCCATCTTTGATCGTCAGGTTGCCACTATGGTGTTGTCCTGGCTGGGTACCTTGTTTTTGTCTTCGAAAAT